GGGGGGGGGGTGCATGGGAAAAAAACACACAACAATTTTGTTTCCTACAGGATAGTTGTCAATATCTAGAAGGATGTCGTTGTCACACATGGGAGATGCTATTGGCATCTAGCGGGCAGAGGCCAGAAGTACTCGTAAACATCCTACAAAGCACAGGATGTCACCATAACAAAGAATTACTGGCCCAAAATGCCAACAGTGCCAAGACTGAGAAACCCTGGTGGAGATCAATGCCTTATTTCCTATTTTTTCCTTTTTTCCCCCTAGAAAATTAATTCACACAAACACTATACAAACCCAAAATATATAAAAATTACTCATTGGTTATAGGTCTAGCATCATCAGTACACCCCTACATACACTGGAGAAACTTTCAATAAATAAATAATCAACACACTATATAACTGAGTCCAATTAAACTCTCAATAAGCTTGCTAACTGACTGAAAGAAGTTATTTATATTTATATAAAAGTATATTACCTGGAAGCTATAAACATACAAGAGGATTATATATGATCTCTTAATAGTTACTATCTGGAACCTAGAATCATTAGGAAGACTTCACAGAGAAAGAAGTGTGGTATGGCAGGATCGTGACAGCTAAATGAGGTCAAGCATAAGCCGAGAATTTGGTGCAGGTAGAAGGGCAAGAATTAGGGTTTCATTGAATCAGAAAATTAATATTAATAAGTAGCGACAAGGGCCAATATGCATAAGAAAAGGTTCTCAACATCTTTAGTCATTAGGGAAATGAATGGCAAAACTACAATGAAATACTACTTCGTACCCACTAGATGGCTATCAATCAAAAAAATGGAAAATCAGTGTTAGTGAGAAGGTGGAGAAACTGGAACCCTCTCACACTGCTGGGCGGGTTGTGAAATGGTATAATTATTGTGGAAAAATTGTACTGGTATAATTAATGACATAATTCATAAAGTACCTTTTACATAGGTACTAATGACACTTTATGGGTCAAAACATGATTATGGTTTATCATAATTCATAAAGTACTACAATACAGTGGCTTGCATTTATAAGATACAGATAGATATAAAAATCCATATTTCAAAAAATGTATTCTGTAATCTAACAACTTTACCCAGTACATAGGATGGATTGGAAGAAGTTGAAAGGAAGACCAACTAATTTTTTTCAATCCCTTCTCCAGCGAAGAGCTGTTGGACTATATTCATAAGGGCTCCCCAGTGCAAACTAGTTCTCCTTAGTTACAAATAGAAATTGTAAAAACCAAGAGGTATAAAAGTACCTCTCCTGTATCCCTAAGTAACCACTTGGATTAACACTGTATGCAGAAGTTAGGAGTTCTGAATTTTGCTTATTAGTTGTGCAACCTTTAATTCAATTTTTTTTCTTTTTTTATTGAGATATAATTGGCATATAACATTATATTAGTTGCAGGTGTACAGCATAATGACTAGAAACTTATTCTATATTGTGAAATGAGCTTGAATGACAATGTCTAGTTAACATCTGTCACCATAGTTACAATTATTTTCTTGTGATGAGAACTTTTAAGATCTACTCTCTTAGCAACTTCCAAATATGCAATATAGTATTAACTATAGTCACCATGCTATACATGTAATTTTCTCATTATAAAACTAATAATATAAATTAACTCCCAGAGCTGTTCTGAAGATTAAGACAATGTAGAGGCAACCTATAAGTTTTCAAGTGCAACACAAATGTGATGTCAAACCTTAATATTTTTACTTAAATTCTACAAATTCCTATTCAAATCTGAATATAAAACATATCCTAGTATGTTTTATACTAGGAGGGAGGGAGAGAGAGAGAGAGAACTACTATTGTCCCAAAAGTCAAAACATTCTTGAAATGAAAAGACTCAAGAATTCTCTAGGAAGCAGATTGATAAGACTCAGAGATCTATTAGATGTGATGGAAGGGGGACAAAAAAGAAGTCTTTATTACTTGTGCTTTCAAATTTTAAACTTACTTTTCTTCTATTTCTTATTAAGTCTTTCAGTGATGTTGGCTTTTTACTTTAAACTTTTCTTTTTTATTTTCCTAATTATATTTTTGTTGGATAAATAAAACTATTATAATACTATAATATTATGTAGGAATTTTCTACAATTTCTCTACACCATAATTTTGTATTCGTGGATAGAATTTCAAATTTCCTCAAAATTTACATATCCACCATTTTCACTTCCTTGCAATGTATTAAAAATCACTGTCGATCTATGCACTTACAGTTTTCTATATCCTTGCAATTTATTATTAATTCCTGTTGAATTATGCATCTAGTTGTTTTTATAGATTACCATGTGCTATAATAGATTTTGCTGCCTGCAGTAATGTTGACTTTCTTCTTAAATTGCATATACCTTTCTCATAAGTATTTTAAAGAAAAAGATTTTATTATTTCATTGTGCATGTTCATAATATCCTCCAGAATTTTCTCCACTATTGAAAAAAGAAATTTACATATATCTCAAATATAAAAGTTCCAAATTGTCTGCTCTGGTTCTGGTATTAGTCTTTATCGTTTTTATTTCTGGCTGTGCAATGAATGGGTATCATGATATATTTTGACTAATTATATTTCTGCCCAAGTGCATATAAAAATTTAAATTTGAATTTTTAAAGCATTTATATGTTTCTTTTAGAATCTTGTGTTTTGTATTCAATTTTGTAGATCGTATCATGAATAACTCTTTATTTAAAAATTCCTTTTGTGATCTCTTTGCCCATTTATTTTAGCCTCTTTCTTTAACAAATATTTTAGTTTTGTAAAGATATTTCTTTTAACATCTTCATACACACTTATACTTATCACTTCTATGAGTTATTAAATTACTGTTAAAGGCGATAGGGATAAAAGATAACTGATGAAGCACAGGCTGTGGAGAAATAAAGCTGAGGTAAATCAAAGGAAGCAGATTAATAATCAAATTAAGTAAAAAATGTGGTTTTCTCATCTGCTCTCCCTTGTTTTGCAGACCTGAAATTTTAGTCCTTCCTCATACTTCAGAGGAACTATGAAATTATCAAAACTAACAAGCTTCCTTTTCCTTCTCTTATATATTTTTTCACCTACTTTTTAAAGTTAGAATTAGTTCAATTTTTCACCCATTTTAAAATGTTCACCTATCCTGCAAAGACCTATAATCCAAGATTAAATATGTGTAATTGTAGATCTATTTTCATAAAAACTAAAAAAATTCCCCCAGACACAGAAAGACGAACACTGTATGACCTCACTTATATGTAGTATCTAAAACAGTTAAACTCATAGAACCAGAGAGTGGAATGGTGGTTGCCGGGGGGTGAAGGAAAATGGGGAGATGTCTGTCAAAAGGTACACTCTATCAGTTACATGATGAATACGTTCTCGAGAGCCAATATACAACATGGTGAACACAGTTAATAATACTGTATTGAATATCTGAAATTTGCTAAGAGAGTAGATTCAAGTGTTCTCATCACCAAAGAAATAAATAAGTAAAAAGGTAACTATGTAAGGTGACAGATATGCTACTAGACTTGATTATGATAATCATTTCACAATGTACATGTATATTAAATCATCACATTGTACACCTTTAAAAAATCATGTTGTACAACCTAAATATATACAGTTTTGCCAACTGTACCTCAATAAAGTTGGAAAAGAAAACACTCAGGACTTTAACTGTGAATACTGTTTTAGTTGAGACCCATATCTGAGGCTGTGCTCCCCCTTCATTTTCATTCATCTACCTTTTAGTTATGGAAAACACGCTTTAACAAAAATACTGCCATGAATGTTACAAGATCTAGAAATATTATGATTTGTTAATAAATCATAAATAAATAAGTCATAGAGTCAAAGAAGTAAAATGGGGTTCCCTGAATTGTACTTTTAAAACCTTGACCTTATAGAATAGAGGTTATCAGACACTGAGTGGGGAGTAGGGGTTGGGGAGTTAGTGTTCAATGGGTACAGAGTTTCTGCTTGGGACGATGAAACAGTTCTGGAGATGAATGGCTAGGATAGTTGAACAACACTGTAGATGTACTTAACACCACTGAATTATAAAATTAAGAATGGTTGACATGAAAAACAATGCTGACTTTATTCATTTAGGAGCCTCTTTATTAAATTAGTCCGCTCAGGCTTCTCGGTAGCCTTTGCAATGGTAACTCTCTCCCCTGTCCAATTAAGAGCATGGATCTGGCTATTTTTCTATTCTTTCTTCTCCTTCTCCTTCTATTCTTAGAAAGAGGGGAATAATTTCTTGTGGTAATTAAGTTTCATCATCACCTGACTTAAACTTAGTTCTTCACCGTCATATTATATCCAGATGTTTTCTGTTTCTCCCATTCGCCTGGTGATGGGTTGCCATTTACCATTCAATCTTTCTAATGTTTTTGTACTTTCACTCTTCTACTGTAAAATTTGAGTTTTTAATTCTTCAAAACGTCTTTCCAGAGACAAGTCTGACTCTTCTGTGTCTCCTTTGTTTCTTGACTCTGTCAACACTTATTTGAGGCTTCTCTGACTGAACTACCTGACTCAATTTCCTTCCTGCCTGCCATAGCAATTATTAATAATGGCCTTTGCAGGCGTCTTTTCTTCTTTTTTGGCAGGTTGTATTTTTTTTTGTCTGGGTATATTTATTCATTAAATCTTCCCTGGTAATTATCTATTGTTCTAATTATCTATTGAGAGAGCTCCATCTGTACCCTTCTATTGGATATTTTGGATTCTCTTTCACACTTTGCTTTTGACTCAAAATGCTGTTTTCTGAAGCTTGATTAACTTTACCTGTTTCTAAAAATCAGATGTAACTTAGGGCAATGACTTGTCATGACTGGAGATATTCATATCCATATGCAATGTATTCTAAATGCCAACAAGTTACCAAAATGTATGAAATGTTTAGTTCCATAAGGAAATATTTTGAAGGGGAAAACACGCAAGTGAATGTATCATTTTGCTAAGTTTGTTAAAAAGAAAACTAGTGCCTGGCTCAGTTGGTTGGAGCATCATCCCATACACCAAAAAGGTTGAGGGTTTGATTCCCATTCAGGGCACATATCTAGGTTGTGGGTTCAATCCCCAGTCAGAGTGCGTACGGGAGGCAACCAATGTTTCCATCTCTCTCTCCTCCCTTCCTCTCTGTAAAATCAATAAACATATCTTCAGGTGAGAATTAAAATAAAAAGAAAAATAGTCACTATGACTCAAATCTAAAAGAATACTAGAGACACTGATAATATCATTGAATACTGAACAGAAGGCCTCATGGAGAAAGTGGAATTTTGAACAGACGTTGGAAAGTGAGTAAACATCAGCAGTGAAACAGGGAAGAAGAGTGTTCCGAAAAAGCAGCTGAGGCTACCAGGAGGCTGAGAATGTGAAGGAGGTGTGAGGACATGTGTGAAAGTGGAAACGAGAAGGACCTGCTCGGGAAGATAAAGATGATCAATTAAAACCAGGCAGTGATTCTGTGCAATGAAAACAGAGCTGGGCCCTGGCCGGTTTGGCTCAGTGGTTAGAGCAGTGGCCCGCAGACTGAAGGGTCCCAGGTTCAACTCCAGCCAAGGGCACGTACCTCAGTTGCAGGCTTGGTCCCAGGCTCAGCCCCACCCGGGGCGAGTGGGAGGCAACCAATCGATGTGTCTCTCTCACACTGATGTTTCTCTCTTTCTCCCCTCCCCTTCACTCTCTCTGAAAAGCAACGGAAAAAAATATCCTCGGGTAAGGATTAAAAAATAAATAAATAAAAAATAAAAAACAGAGCTAGGAAGCCGTGCTGCCCTAAGATCCAACTAGCGATGAATAAGTAGGCAGGTAAAGATATTAGAGATGAGTGGGAGGAAGACCGGTGAAAGGCAATTACAGTTACGTAAGTGAAAGTTAAGGCAGTCTGGGGAAGAAACTGGTTTTAGTTGTAGCTGACAGTGGGAGACTCAAACAGAAAAGTCCACAGGCAACTCAATATGTAAATTAGAGCTAAGAAGAGAAGAAATGGCTGGAATTCTAAATTTAACAGTCATCTGGATGAAGTAACAACTGAAGAGTAAAGACAATAAAAAACTAGAGGCAATCTTAGGGAATGTACCCTTATTTGTTTATCTATTTATTATCCTCACCCAGGGAGATTTTTTCCATTGCATTTCAGAGGGAGAGGATGGTAGTGGGGGGGAGAAACATCGATGTGAGAGACACATCTATTGGTTGCCTCCTGCAAACACCATAACCGGGCCGGGGATTGAGCCTGCAACCAAGATACGTGTCCTTGACCAGAATCGAACCCGAGACCCTTTCCTCCGAGTCAAACCGGCCAGAGTGAGAATACCCATATTTAGAGGATAAAAGAAAGAACTGGAAAATAGCCAAGGAGACCAAAAAGGATCAAAGCATCATTTGTTAAGATAAATTCCTCTGTTAAAGATATACAGATATATTTAGGAGACATTTTTCTTTAATCTCCTCTTTCTATTTCCTGAAACATAGATCACCACCGTATCACTCCCATCAACTCCTATCATTCATTACCACTTTTTAACACCAGTCTTCAATGTTATAGAAAAATATACTGCAGTCTATTTTAAAATTAACAGAATTTCTCTTATAGAATAAAACTCAAGAATGATGATTACCTTCCAAACAAAGCTGAATGAAATTTCTGCAAGCTTTAGGGGCTTCTTTTGACCACAACTCTATATCGATATCTCCAGCCGTAGTTTTCAACAAAACCTGTAGAAAGAAGATAACCTCCTTATGCCATGTTATCCTTTTGCTTGATATTCAGCTGAACAGCCTGTCAACCTGAAGCATTCACTATTTCAAATGTAAATAAAATTTAGAAACTTTGCTTTGCCTTTGTTGTTATAACCCCCCCAAAATTTCAACTAGTCATACAAGTCACAGTACATTTATAGCTTTTAAATACCATTTTCAGAAAAAATTTAGGATTTAAGAGAAAACAGCATACACCTTGCTTAACCACAGAAAAAATACCTCATTCAGTTAAAAATCAATGATTTAAACTTATTTTAATCAAGACAGTTTCCCATAGCGTTTCTTCCAATAAAATTGGTAGAGCAAATTGAGAAGTTAAAGAACAAGGACACATGAAATTATAACACTATAAGACAATTTTACAATACCCTTTTCCGTATAAACACTCTACTTTCTCATTCAAAAGCATGCCATTCCCGATTTATGAAGGAATAGTCCTAGTCTAATTCTGGGTTGTATGTTGTTAAAATGCTATGCCTGAAAACTACTATCTGCAGTAAATGGAACCCTTTGATAGCCTCCTTCCTACCAGCATAAGGCATATAATAACTCATAAAGGCAGTTATTCTTTGGTACAACCAGCCATCTTTCAACAACCAGAACCCCTACTGAACCCACAGAAGGAAACAGTTATAACTGTCTTATTAATGAACACAAATAGCCAAAAAGAACATTAGACTCTAAATTTGAATACTGTGGCACGGTGGGAGTCCAGCTTCTCTAGGATCACTTTTTCTCCCCCAATGTACCAATGTAGGTCAATGCCAATCAATGACCAATGGTCAATGATTTGTGAACATCACCATCATTTAGAATGTTCTTCCAAATAAAGAGTATGCAGTGTGACTATGTATTTAAAAACATGAGACTGATTCTCACGAGAAGTCAGTATCATTGAGATAAATCACACTTTTTATTTTCTAAAACTCCTTTACTCAATTCCCACACATTTTTTTAAACTGGAAAGAATTTTAAAATCAGCTAAACCCCACCCCCTAATCCATTATACAGATGCCCCAAAGAAGTTGTAAATTGCCTGAGTCTAAGAGCTTGTTATTAGCAATGCAGGAATAACATTTCTCCCTGCTCCCTCCTCATCCACTGTACTTTTGCTCAGTTGCCTTTCAATTTGTTTCAGAGACCCAGATATTGCCATAATTTACATAACATTGATGAATTTATTACATGCTTTTGGGCTTTTACTAGCTCCGTAGGTCTTTATAACTATTCTTTAATGACCATGGGAGTGGAGGAGGTGGAAATAGCTATATTATGGTAGCTTTTAAAATGGCTTCCTGAACCTTAGCAATATAAAACAACTAGAAATACACATGTGCATAATTTTCTCAACCCATTACACTTCCTCTACAAAAAGAAGGGAACATTTGTGGAGCGCCTTCAATGTGTCAACTTCTGTGCCAAACACTTTACAAATCTTCTCTCATTTAATTTCCAACTACAAGGCAGGTATCATTACTCCCACTTTACTTATGAAGAAACAGAGACTCAGAGAAGTAACTTTATCCAAGGTCTCACAGTGAATGGCTTAAGCCAAAGGCTGGCTGGCTGCAAAGCCCATGCTTTTTCTATACCACCATACTGCCTCCACAAAGCTCTCCATAAACTCCCTACTACACAGGAAGAAACAGTCCATCAAGCTCTAGGGCTCTGCCACCTGTCTCAAAAAAAAAATCCCCAGGTTACTCTGGTCAGAACTGATTTGAATAGAGAACAGTGCCTAAATCAAAAAGCAGTCATATAGCCATGGCTGGTGTGGCTCAGTTGGCTGAAGCATTAGAGCGTCCTCCCCTACACCAGAAGGTCACAGGTTCCATTCCCAGTCGGGGCACACATGCAAGAGGCAACTGATCAATATCTCTCTCTCATACTGATGTTTCCCCTCTCTCTCTCTCTCTTTCCTTCCTCCCTCTCTAAAAATCAATTTTTTAAAAAGTTTAATAAATAAATAAAATCAATCATATATTGGCTGGACATGAGCAAGGTGCTCTAACTAGGCTTGGCATGAAACAATGCCCAAAAGAGAGAACCCATATCTCCTATGTAGGGTGAGAGAAGCCAGCCCAACTGGGTTCTCACTGGATTCTCATCCTCCTGGGAACTTTACACTTGGGACTCTAACTGAGAGGCTAACTCCCTCTACCTCAGACTGTGTACCATCTGTTACGAAACTGTGTAACACCTGATTTTCCGTGAGGCCTGATGTACATCCAATCTAAATATACAGTATACCTAGAAAGACAAGGCCTGGGGGGGGCAGGATGGAGGGAGTCAATGGGGGGAAAAGGGGGGACATCTGTAATTCTTTCAACAATAAAAATAAATTTTAAAAGGAGACAATGTCCTTTGTTACCTCATTAACTTGAAATAAAGCATGATTGCTACAGGGAATCTAGACATATCCTCTCTTCTTTGCAGTTCTAAAGCAGTGATATCAAGGCACAATATACATTCAAGACAAAGTTCACCATTAACAATAATAAATAGAAACCAATATTCCAAGTGATTTTCATAATAATTTCTAATTTTTTAAAGACTTCCCATGCTGAAGCCTCAGCTCTATCATTTTCTTATGTTCTGAAACATGTGAGTGCCAGTTTAGTTCATCTAGATGTCATGGGATATATATCCATTTAGCAAGGCATTAGGAAATATTATATCATGATATGTAAAAAGTGACTAAATGACTAACTGAATTTACATGTTCCTTTTTATATTCAAAATACTTCATTTAAACAAGTAAAGGGAAAAAATAAGTACAAACAGAAGTATGTAGATTTTCTCCCTGTATGTCACGGTTGGTTTTGCAAACCCCTGAAATGTGCAATCACTGGTTTAGAAACCAGTGCTCTACTGAATTAAAAAAGGAACAGCCAGGCTGGGCGTGGCTCAGTGGTTGAGTGTCACCTAGGATCCAGGCGATCTCCATTTGATTCCTGATCAGGGCACCTGCTGGGGTTGTGGGCTCAATCCCCAGTTGGGGGCGTGCAGGAGGGCGGCCAATCAATGACTCTCTCATCATTGATGTTTCCATCTCTCTCTCTCCCTCATTTCCTCTGAAATCAATAAAAAAATATGTGCGTTGCCCAAAATACCTACTAAAATTTTGGTGGGGCTATCAATTACAAAATTTCTGTTATTGTTCTCAAATTGCCCTCACTATATTACCAAATGTCGGTATAAGTAACTTATGATATAGTCATTCAACAGAATTATACCTGATAAATTTAGTTTACCCTAATTCAGTCCCACTATTTTCTACATTATGCTGGTTCGTCATATTTCGTATGTGAGAGAGACTAGGTCTTAGATCGACTCAGGCGGTATTTATTCCACTACCGACTCCTCAACTTCATACTGCCTATAAACACCTTGGAAGAGAACTGACATACTTTGACGATCAAATCAATCAGAAAATCATTCTCGCATTCCAATGTGGGAACATTTCCCATGCCCCACTTTCTCTGACAATCATCTCATGTTTTAAGATCAGCGACTTCGTCCATGAAGCCCTTCCCGGCTTTCCCAGTTGCTCACTTCTCAGTACGACCACAAGCAATAAGCTCCTCTCTCCACGAGCAGGCCTACCAAACATATCATGAGGCTTTCCTTTGCCTGTCTGCCTGCCTGCCTGCCAACTAACCCATAAGCTCGTCTAGGGCAACAACCAGACCTTATCCATCCGGCTTTGTATTCCCAGCACCTAGTACGGTGCCCGGTGCCTAGAAGTCGTCAAGGGCTGTAGAATGAACGGACAAAGAGCGAACCGCAAGTTAATAATAATAATTTAAAAAGTCAGTTTTTAAACTGTACTTAGGTTTTTACCTAAGACCCTAGCAAATGCCTGCGTGAGTGAGGCTGAAGCAAGAAAATGGGGCACAGGCCAGTAGACGGAGAAGTCTCCAGCTAGGACTTTTTCAGAGCATCCATACGCCGAGGTTTGCACAGATGGTTTTCGACGCAATCCTCATCAGAGGCAGGGGAAAGGACAAGACTTCTTGTGATCTCTTCCAACCTTAAGACCCCAGAACTCCCTTAATCGGTGAGGTATCGCTTTGGGGAACCCAGGCATCCTAGACGGAGATCTCACCTTCCCGTTCGTGGGAGGCTCTTGAATGTAGATGTTGCTCATGCTGGTCAGTGCCCAAGACTCTGCTCCTAACTGGGGACGAGAGCGGACGGCCGATCACTAAAGTTATGCACCTATCACGCTTCCTTTAGTCGGGCGGTCTGTCAATATCCCGAAAGAAAACGACACCAAACACTATCTTTGCCCATAACTAGTCCCTCACGGACGCCGCCATGTTGCTCCCGGACCCGAGCACCGCTAATCCTGAGAAGGGGGATTCCAATGACCTCCAGGAAATGAGAGAAACTATGAAGCTCCTACATTACATAACTTTAACTTATATTACAACTTTAAAAAGGACGACTCCTATGTCTTGGCGGTGTTTCCGTCTCTCCGTGGCTGTGCGGGTCTCACTCCTCCCCCGAATCTGGCAGTAATGGTTCGGCCCCCGCGTGTTCCGCAACACGCCTCCCCCGGAAACCGCGGCGGCGGCCACTCGGTTCCGCTCTCCTAGAGTCCTAGAGGCCTTCCGCGACTGAGGCCGGGGGGCCGCGGCGCGGCGCCGGGGCAGGAAGAGGCCACCTCGCCGCGCGTCGTCCTTCCTCGCAGCGGGCGGGGAGCGAGCGTGCCCTCGGAAGCCCGGGGCTCCTGCGATCCCCCTCACCGGCGCCATGGCGGTCCCAGGTGAAGACCGAACAGCGGGGCCCCGGGCTGGGAGCGAGGAAGGGAGTGGGTGGGTAGGTTGGGGTGCTCCGCAGTAGCGCCCACGGGGCTTTAGGCGCAGGCTTTACAATGAGCAGGGTCGTTTGGTTTACGTGAAAAAGTTTACACTCCCCCAAATAAACTGTGATGGAAAGAAGGAGAGGGAGAAACTGTCCCCGGCCAAGCTCCAACTGCATGGGACGGATCACAGGGAAAGTGTAGGGGGGCCGGAGGCAGTCACTAGGCCTAGCCGGCGAGGCCCCCCAAAGCTGACCTTCCTCGGATATGGCTGGGAAGTAAAACTTGAGGGGGGACCCTTGGCGAACCCAGCTCGCCGGAGGCATTGTCTGCCGTGGAACCGCCGGGGCGGGAGGGGCGCCCCGCGTTCTCCGCGCCCCCGGCGATCGCAGTTGCGGGGCGCCGGGCGCTCTGCCCGCGTGGGCCTCGGTTTCCGCGTCTGGAAGAGATTTGTGGGTTTGTGTCTGTGGTGACGAGCAGCCCTCGGGTTCTCCGCCAGTGGGGACCGACCTAGAAACAGGGAGCCTGCGCGATACGCGC